CGCCGCAACACCCCTTCATGAGGGCTCCTTTTGCCCGAGATCAGATGCAACTTTGTCCTAGAGAACAGCTAATCAGTGAGCTGCCAGAGCGGGTTAATGTTTCACTCAGAGAGAAGGGCTGCTCCCAGTTTTGTTTTTTTTTTCTTCCTTCTTTCCTGTTTTTAACCCCGGGAGGCAGAGCGGGAGCAGGGGCGCTGCTTTCCCGGCCGGAGACGCGGGTCCCCGCGCTCTCGCGGGGCTGCTCCTCGCCCAGACCCGTCAGCAGGGACCTGGCCACATCGGCAGCCGTTTCCGCCCCCGGCAAACCCACGGACACAGGAGAAGGGGGAAGCGAAGCCGCCGGGACGGCGAGGGTTAATGGCAGCCTGCCCTGGGCACCAGGTGCTGCTGCGATGCTCCAGTTGCTGCGGGAGCCTTCACCTTTCCTCTGAGCAGAAAGATAAGAGATCAGGAAAAAAAATAAATAAATAAGTGAAACGGAGCTTGGTTCACGCTCTGGCGAGGCGCTGGCAGCAGTTCATGGCTCGCGGGGCCGTAAACCTGTGTGCAGGCTTGGAGCCGTTCCCGGCGGCGCCGCAGCCCCGCTCCGCGCTGCGGGCAGCCTCCTCGTGCAAACCCAGAGGGAAACTGAGGCTCCGGACGGCCCTCGTGCTCCCGCTGCTCCCCTGCCTGCCCTTCTGGGAAGCAGCCTGTGCTCTCTCATTGCAAGGGAAGGCAGAACAGAGCGAGACGCTCGGTGACATCCTCCCTTTTCTGGGTTGCACTGAGCATCCGTCCCGGCTCATCCTTATCCACGGCACAAGCAGAACACTTCTAAAATAAAAATAAACGCAGGACGCCACAGGAACACCACTCTGGGGCTCCTGAGCAGAGCCCACACGTGCTGGGAACGGTGAGGAAAACCAGAACCTCGAGGAATTGCTCAAGGGACCCGGGACCACCTGCCCACAGCAATCCCATTGCTGAGCCAAGCTTCCCCACACGGAGCCCCGGCAAAGGCTCCCCCCGGCCTCTGGGTGCTTCTGCCCCCACGTTGCAGACTGTGCATCATCCTCCCCTTCTGCTTTGTCACCCCCAAGCGAAACGCAGCCCCCAGCAGGCTTGGGAGCACACGTTTCCCCTCCTCTGCAGCTAAGGATTTCCTCCGGGCTGCCCTTGGACTGCACACTGGCAGCAGGTTCCTCCACAAATGGCTCATTTACAGAGCAACCACGGTGGGAAAAAAATCTTTTTTTTTTTTTTTTTAAAAAAAAGAAAAGAAAGCCAAGCCCAGAGACAGCCCGGGATGCCCAAAGCATCTGCTCCAGGATGGAGAAGATCCCCAGGTGCCCTTGGGGAATCCAGCACCACCAGCAGTCTGTAAAACACCCATCAACAGCCTGGGAAAGACGCGTTTCTCAGGTGCCGGCTGCATTTTAACCGCCCGGCTGCAGGTGTGAGGGAAGACGGGCCGGAACCGAGCGCCCCATCTGCACCTGGGCTTCGCTTTCCCCCACGGAGCAGCAGACCCAGGCTGGAGAACGGCTGCGAAAGCCGGTGAGATGCTGCAGGGGACCCAAATGGAGGCCACCGCGCAGCTTTGATCCAGGCTCTTCCCAACTTCCAAGACTTCTTTGCCCTGGAACCCAATGAGCAGATCACAAACCAGCTGCGGGTCTCTCTGCAGCACTCAGCAAAACCAGGGTGCAGCAGGGACAGGGGCTCTGCCCGCGGGGCCGGGATGAGCCCCCCTTCCCGGCACGGGGAACGCGCTGTGACCTTGGCCGGGAATTCGCCCCTGGCAGGGGGACCGTGGCGGGACCGGGCTGGCTCTGCTGCACTTCACCGGATGGAGGTTGCTCAACAAACCCGGATTTTGTCAACAACGGCAAGAAAACGCTAACTTGCCAGAACTCCTTCAGGGAAAGGGGACTTGTGATCGGTTTGGGCGATGGCGAAAGCGGAGGGAAGGGCTGCAGAAGAACGGAGTGACCTCTTGGATGCACCGCTGGAGCCATCACAGTTTATGTCTAGCAGCTTTTTTAAAACAACAAAAACCAGCTCAGCACTGGGGCACTTCAGCTCAGCCACACGGACGATTTGGCCACCTGCAGCGCCGATATTCCTACTTTGCCTGGATTTAGGATGCATGGCAGGGGGTGGCACAGAGGGGACAACCACCCTCTGGGGTCTCCGAAAGGGTCCCAGGACGAGACAGGCGCCTCCAGCCCCCTCTGCCACGGGCGCAGTAAAGAGGCGCGATGTGAAATTTGCCGTCTGTCTGCCCGGCAGCAAAAAAAAGCAGGGAAAGCTCCCCCGAGGCCGCTACCCACGGTGGGGAGCGGAGGAGGCAACTTGCTTTTAAAGCATCCAAGAGAAACCCAGGGCTTTTCTCCCTCTCTAACTGCAGGATGGCTCCATGTGCCAAGGGGAAGCCCTGGGGACGGCAGGGAGGAGACAGTGGGCGCAGGCGAGTGGAAAACGCTGCATCTCCTGCAAAACCGCAGGGCGCCCCTCGGCAGCACCCCCTCCAGCCCTTCCCAGGGAAATCCCACACGACAGGCGGCCCGGGAGCGGGGCGCTCTCACCCGGCACGGCA